GTCTGTTCCCTGTCACAGCTGAGGGACCATAAAACTCACGGGTGTCCTACACAACTCACTGCTCTGAGGCTAGCTGTCTGTCAAGCTATCAGCGGACCTTGCTCTTCCTAAGATCCCAGCACAGGGTCCTTCCTGCCTCTCCCAGCATCTGGTGGCCCCAGGTGTTCCTTGGCTTCTGGATGCAATCTCTGTAACCACCATCCCCACCCACCCCTCCACACACACAGGAGTACCATTTCCTTCCTGTTTCTTTTCTCTGTGTCCAAATTTTTCTCCTCTATAAGGACACTAGCGAAATTTGACTTCTTTCTTTTTTTCCTTTTGGTGCTGGGGATTGAACCAAGGATCTTGTGCATGGAAACCAAGCACTCTACCAATTGAGCTGTAGCCCCAGTCCTGCCATATTTGAATAAGGGCATGTCCTACTGCAGGATGACCTCATCTCAATTAATGACATCTGAAATGGCTGTGTTTCCAATAATGTTATATTCTGAGATACTGGGTGTCAGTCTATTCGTGTTGCTATAACAAAATCTTGAAGACTGGGTAGTTCATAAATAATAAAAATTGATTGAGGGATGGGGCTGTAATTCAGTGGTAAAGCATTTGCCTTACACGTGTGAGGCACTGGGCTCAATCCTCAGCACCACATAAAAAATAAATAAATACAGGGGCTGGAGCTAAGGCTCAGCGGTAGAAGGCTCACCTAGCACACGCGAGGCACTGCGTTCGATCCTCAGTATTACATAAAAACAAATAAATAAAATAAATGTTAAAAAATCTTATGAATCAACAAAGAAACCACAATAAAAATTTAAAAATAAATACATAAAAATATATTGTGTCCTCTACAACTAAAAAAAAAAAATTTTTTAAATTGCTTGCCGGCCAGGCACAGTGACGCATGCCTATAATCCCAGCGTCTTTGGAGGCAGAGGCAGGAGGATAGCAAGTTCAAAACCAGCCTCAGCAATTAGCAAGAAGCTAAGCAACTCAGTGAGACCCTGTTCTAATAAAATACAAAATAGGGCTAGGGACGTGACTCAGGGGCCAAGTACCCCTGAGTTCAATTCCCGGTACCCAAAAAAAAAAAAAAAAAATTGATTGCTCACAGTTCTGGAGGCTGATGGTCTAAGACCAAGGCAGCAGCAGGTTTGGTGCATGGCAAAGGCCTATTCCTCAGAAGCACCATCCAGTGGCCAAAGAGAGGTGGAAAGGCATTAAGGAATCACCCTGCCTTTGTGAGGCCCTGATCCAATCATGCCCATGGAGCCTTGTGACTTAATCTCTCCCAAATGCCCCACTTCCCAATGCCATCACCTTAGGGTTCAAGTCCCACATATGACTTGAGGAGAAACACATGGCAGTGGGGGTTTAGGACTGCTGCATGTTTTTGTTGGGGGGTCACATCTCAACACAACAGTATTGTAAACATTTGATGATCTCAGTTACCCTTTACTGCATAACAAACCCCCCAAAATGGAGTCTCTTCAAACAAAAGTTTTGATACCTCTGTGGTTCTGTGGGCAACTGGGTTTGGCTGAGTAGTTGTGCTGGTCCTGTGGGGCCTGTCATGCAGCGGCAATCACACAGTATATGGGACCGACTTCTCTGGGGGCTCCAGGAGCTGAAACATCAAAAATGGACTCTTCCTGAACATACTTGGTGTTTCAGCACTCCCCTGTGTGGTCATCTTCATGTGGCACCTGAGTTCCAAGGCTCTCCACATGGCCTCTTTCTCCAGAAGAGCAGCTGGACTATTCCCTTGGAGGATCAGGGCTCCACAGCATGTTCCTAGAGATGAAGAGGGAAAGACCAGACCGTCTCTGATAGCCTGCGGCGGAGAGCTTGCAGCATGACTTTTCCAAATGGGTCAGGAGGACTAGTTATTTTTTAAATAACTAGAAGAGTGGAGTTTGGAGGTTACTAATCAAAGAAATGATAAGTGTGGGGATGGAAATGATGAGTACCCTGATTTGAAAATTACACGTTGTTGACATGCATTGTGTTATCACACATTACCCTAGAAATATGTACAATCATTATATGTCAGTAAAAAAAAAGACAACATAGGGCCCACCCCTCAAGGGTAGGGAAATTACACTTCATCTCTGCAGGGGAGGAATAGTAAGGAACTGCAACCATCTTTAGTTTGCCACAGTTTTAAAGTTCACCTATAAGGCTTTAACCCAACTTTAAGTTACTTTGGATATGAAGTGAGTTTTTAAAATAAAGTTTATCTTTATGTTATGGAAGAAGTTAAAAACTAATTGTCCCAAAACCATTTATGAAACATCCCATTCCTTCTCACTGATTTGTAATTTTATATATTTATATATATATATATATATATATATAATATAAAATGGACTTAATTTTATTTTTTTTTATATGTTGTGCTGAAAATCGAACTTAGTGCCTTACACATGCTAGGCAAGCGCTCTACCACTGAGCCACAATCCCAGCCCCTGATTTGTAATCTTGCTTCTACCACCTGCTAAAGTTCTCCTTACACACAGGTCCACTTCTGGACTCTCTGACCTGGGACAACACTACACTGTCTTAATTATAGGTACATAATAAACCTTGGAACAAGTAGGCTAGGTTCTCCTGCCTTTTTCTTTGACAGAGTTGCCTGTATAGCCCTGAACTTTTTCATATGAATTTTAGAATCAGTTTATTTCCTTATGTGAAACACATTAATGGAACATGGAGGTAAGTTGGGGGCCTTGATATCTTTCTAATATAATGCTTTCCCATTCATGAACATGGTATACCTCTCCATTTATCCAGCAGATGTTCAAAGCTCACCTGGAACTTTTACATTTATCTCTACCCTTTTACCTTAAGGAAATTTATTTCTTCTTGGAGGATGATGCTCCAAACCTTGTCTCTCCTCTGCTTCTCTCTCCTGAGCTCTGTCCATTTCTGCATCCACCTCCCAAACCCTTCTGCCCAGGTGACCAGTGTAGCGAGCCCAGGATGGCAAAACCAAGCACACCACTCACTGCCTTCCCTCTGGGTGTGAAGTCACTCATCCTTCCACCCTCTTCCTATCCTTGTCCAGTTAGTCCCTGCACATGGTGAATTTCCCTTCTGAACAAACCTTTCCTGTTTTCTCTCTCCTTTCCTCTCTGTGCTCCCCAGCCACCACTTGTCTGTAACCTCCTCATGCCTAGAGAATTAGAACCTACCTCTGGGCAGCCTCTTTAACTCCAGTCTCAGCACCCATTGGTTGTCAGACTGACCTCTCAAACTCCTGCTTTCTCGGCTCAGAGACCTGCTGTGGCTTCCTATTCCCTACCTCCATCAGTGCAAACTCTGCCCATCATTCTCTGCCCTTCCCACATATCCACTCACTACCCTTCCTACAGTAACTCCCCCGCCCCTTTACCTCCCCCATCTCTGTTTTGCCACTATCTAAAACTATACCTTTGTTTACATATTGAACTGCTCTGACGTCCTCTCTAGAATGTTGGCTCCATGAGGAAGGGACTTTCTGTTTTGCTCCCCACTGTGCCTGGTGAACAGTATGTGGCACCTAATAGGCACTCCAGAAACCCCTGAGTCACAGAAGAGTGAATAAATCCATCTTCTGGTGGGCCCCGAAGTGCCCGTCCCACACGTGCATGGCAATCAACCACCCTCCACTTCTTACAAATGGAGTCATCTCACCTGGAAAGCTCTCCCTTCCCTCACCCATGCAGGTGTCCCAGGACTCCTGAGTGGTCCAGCTAGGTGCACCTCTCCGTGTTCCTTCATCTGAGGCTTACCTCCCATTGGCCTCTTCCACAGACCAGCCCCTGAAGATGCCTAACAGACTCGTTCTCCTCCCTCTTGGTCTTTTAGGAAAGCCCCTCACAGGAGCTCACTCTGCACATTCTACACTCGCCAGTGCCTTGTGCTTTCCCCTCACACTCACCTGCCAGCAGCCCCAGGGAGGCAGGGTCCTCGTGTTTTCCTCCCTACTGCCCAACCCTGGAAGGTGGTGGATGTTCAGTCAATACATATTTTAATAAGTGTGCTGTTTAACTGACTCATATCTACTTAAACACTGCTGCTTTCAGAGCAGGGTTTGGGGAGTGGGAGACTGTTCCCAGGACAAGTCTTGAGTTTGGAATGGGGAATTCATTCTGCAAGTGTGTTGAAACTTTTAGAGGAATTTTTCAGGACCATGGAAACCTAAATTTAACTAGGAGAATGTCTCCATATCAAGTTTCTGCCACTCTTTATAGAAATGCCTTAAAGACTGTCAATCTCCTTATTCATATTCAAGAAGCAGGGTTGAGGAGGTAGGTGCAGGACTTAGAGTCTGTTTAAACGAGCTAACTTACATGCCAAGTTAGATGTTTACTCTACCTGCATTTAGACCACTGGACTAACAGTGTGTTCTTTTACCAATTTTATAGATAAAATGTGCCTTAGGGCCAAGAAAATTAGGTAGTTCCTTTTTTTAAAGAAATGCAGGAGCTGGGGTTGTGGCTCAATGGTAGAGCACTTGCCTTGCCTTTGTGGGGCACTGGGTTCAATTCTCAGTACCACATAAATAAATAAAATTTTGAAAGGCATTATGTCCATCTACAACAACAACAACAAAAAATTTTAAAAAAAGAAAGAAATGCAAACTGAGCGATTCAGGACCATTCCAGGTACTTAGTCATAGAACAGCTCTTTTACACAGTTTTCCTCCTTTCCTAAAAAAAAAATAAGGAGAACCAAGCATCTGTTAAGTATTCATTCAGCTGAACTGAAGTACCCGCTAGACGCTAGATACTGAGCCAGGGAAGAACAATGAGCAAACCTGACAAGCACCCTCGCTGGGAAAAAGACGGCCCACCCTGTAAACAGGCACACATTCAGCCTCCTGGGGGGGGGGGGCAGATGTTAGCTGAAGGAAACTGGAGCTGGGGAGGCAGGAATACAGGCTGAGGCAGATGCAGGGGTTAAACTTTAAACAGGATGTGGACAAAGAATCCCAGTGAGTTAGAATGAGATAAGGAGTTGAGTGTGGTGTGAAAGAATGTACCTGGGAGCCAGTGCAGAGACCCTGAGGCAGAAGGCTGCTGGGCTGTATTGGCCCCAGCCAGGTGAGAGTGCCTGGGGCACCTGGCAGGGAGCTGCTGGGTTGGGTTGACACCGGCTCAGGAGGAAGGGGTGGGGGGTGGGGGAGAAGACAATTTAGGGCTTTGGCTTTTAATCTGGCAGAAGTGGAAAGAGGCCAGAGGATTGAGCAGAGGAGAGGCATGGGCTACTTTCAACAGGATGGCTCTGCCTGCCTTGTTGAGATGGCTGGGGCAGGTGTGGGGACATGGAGGGGGGCAGCAGAAGTGCATGTGGACTGGATGTAAATAGAGGGCAAAGGGAGAGGAGAAAGGAGAGGAGCTGGCCATTGGGAAGACCGAGCCACACCCCCACCGTGACCAACTCTAGAGAACCAGCTGCCCATGGCCAGAGCCGCGACTCCAGGGTGGGCCTGCTGCCATTTCTGACCAGACAAACCTCAGTCCTTTGGCTATGCAGCAGCACCCGGTCCTACCTGCTAGGTCTAAGGAATGACCCCTTCCCAGTTATGACGACCAATGAATGTCTGCAGACTGTGCCAGATGTCCACTGTGGGCAGCAGGCCTGAGGGTGAGAAACCTGGCCCCGGAGCACTTCCAGTGCACTTTGACACTTGCCCATAGATTTCCTAGACGTGAGCATCACTCGTTGCTAGTTCTTCTGGAACACACCTTGTGAGATTCGGGCAAATCAGTCGGGTCTATTGTAGGGATGCGCCACCTTTTTGCTTGTCCACTCACCCACCGGAAGCTGGGCTGTCTCCCTTCTTTGGCTTCTAAGAGTAGAGCTGAGTGACGAATCTGCCTTTACCCTGAGGTGAGCAGCAGGTGAGTTTCGCAGCTCTACTCCTGGCCAACATTTGGCCTGCATGTCTTTTTATGATAGCGGTTCTAACGCCCCACTAACTCAAGAAGCTGAGCCCTCTTTGTGTGCTTCTTTGCTATTTGATAGCTTCTTTGAAGAAGGTGATTCCAAATCTTTTGACAGGCAATGAATTTTTTTAAAGCAACACACACACACACACACCTGCCATGATTTCGATGTGCAGCGATGACTGAGAGCTACTAAGATTTGTGTGTGTGTGTGTGTGCGTGTGTGAGAGAGTTGATGGGGATTGAACCCAGGGCCTTGTGCATGTGAGGCAAGCACTCTACTAACTGAGCTAGATCCCCAGCCCAGTTAAGATTTTGACTTTTTTTTTTTAAACCCAAATGAATACTGTCATCCAGGGACTTCCATGCCAGCCTCTTGTGCCCCCTACTGGTGGTGGGAGTAGGTGCTTCCTGAATCCAGAGTTAAAAGCAGGGATCCTGGTCCCAGGGTCCCAGGATCCTTCTGGGGGTCTCAACAAGCATCTTGCCAGGGACCTGAGTGTGGAGAAGAAGTGACCATCCCCCCCCCTGCCATGCCAGCCATCTGCCACAGGGTGAGCTCCCTCAGTTTGCTGTTCCCTGGAAGCCAGTGGAGATCCTGCACTTACTGGAGGTGATTCCTTTGGGGACCCATGGGACTCGGATCACCGCCCACCAAACATGGATGTTTGGAGGAACTCACTCAGGGACCTGGACGGAGTTACAGCCACTGCTGGGCTGGAATTCACGATGACCCAGCCTGCTGTGTGGACCTGCCCGGTAAGACGCTGGGAGCTCAGAACAGTGGAGTGACTCCATCTCTGCCTCACCCACAGCAAGGAACCTGACATGCAGTTTGGCTGCCTGCAGGGGGCTAATTTTTGTTCCCCAAAAGAGACGATGAAGTCATAGCCCCAGTACCTCAGAATGTCACCTTATTTGTGTGATTAGTTATTAAGATGAGGCCATTCTGGAGGAAGGTGGCTCTACATCCAATATGATTGGTGTGAAAAGGGCAAATTTGGACACTGACCCAGAGAGAAGGCCTGTGACAGAGGCAGAGGTTGGCACGGAGGGGCAGCACAGAGCGCTGCAGTGCTGGAAGCTGGCGGAAGCTGGCCAAAGCAGGCCAGGATGTCCCTGGGAAGATTCCCAAGGGGCATGGCCTGCCGACGCGCTGACTTCAGACCTGTCACCCCCAGACGGTGGGAGAAGAAGTTCTGCTGTTTGCATTGACTCGGCTTTTGTACTCTGTTATGCAGCCCCAGAAAAGCAGCACAGGCCCAGGACACATGGAGTTTGCCCTCATGGCTGCTGACCCTGCCCTCTGCTGGGGCCCAGGCTCCCTGCCATCCAGGTCCCCGAGTCCTCACATGGAGGTATGGCCGCCATGAAGTCAGACATTATTTAGAACACTACAAAGCAAAAATTAAAATGACGTTAAATGGTTTTATCCAGAAATAACCAGTGATTGATAGCATATTTGAGCATGTTGGAAGTATTTTCCCCAAACTTTCCAAGTTTCTGCATGCATGAGTCTGTGGGAGCTCCTGAGCCTGCCTCACTGGGTGCTGCTGTCTGCATGGGGCCGTTCTGTGATCTACGGGCCTGCACTCTGACAAGCACTACAAGCATGGTCAGGCACATTGCTTTTTTTTTTTTCTTTTCTTTCTTTTTTTTTTTGGTACTGAGAATTGAACTCGGGCTCTACCCCTGAGTCAAAGGGCATCCTGGCCTTTTTATGGTTGTCAGGGGCTGGGAGAAGAGCGGTGGTGGAATAGGGAGTTGTGGCTGATGGGCACAGGGCTTCTTTTTGGAGGGATGGAAATGCTCTAGAATTAAGAAGGCACTGAGCTCTCTTGCCTGACCCTACCAAAAGCAGGTATCAGGGTACAGTGTGAAAGCAGTGCCGCCATCACCCAGGTGAAAAGCAGACAAGTCAGGGCAAGCACAGAGCCCTGCACAGACCTCACTTAGGTAAAGCCCTGTCTGAGAGGCCTCCTTGCAAGCCATTGGGGAAAGGTGGTCTGTCCAGCAAGGGAGCTTGGACAATTGATTATCCACATAGGAAGATACTGATCTCCAGTTCACACATACACAAATACAGATTCCAGGTGAATTGCAAACCTAGACTTCAGAGATGTCATTGAATTCATGGTAGAAAGAACACAAGTCTTTTTTTTTTTTCCTGATACTGAGGATTGAACCTAGGGGTGCTTTACCAGTAAACTATATCCTCAGTCCTTACTATTTTTTTATTTTAAGACAGGGTCTCATTCTGGCCAAGTCTGGCTTTTAACTTGCGATCCTTCTGCCTCAGGCCCTTGAGTCACTGGGATTACAGACACGTGCCACTGCACTGCCGCAGTCTGGCTGGGCACAAAATAACCGAGCCACCACCAAAGCCTTGTAGCTTTACACAGGTGAAATCTCCATTGCAATGTTTAAAAACTCCACAGTCAAAAAATAAAACTGATCAGAAAAACATTAATCTAGGTCTGTATGAGCTCAAAAAATAAAATAGAACTTTATGATGTGGGAAAAGGCAATAATAAAATAGATATTGAAAAAAGCATCCTGGTTAATCACTGTCGCAGATGTAAGAATAGCCAAGCTGGAGCTCTGGATATCAGCTGTTATGGATTTGAGTCAAATCATCTTCTTTTTGGTCTGTAGAAATCGCTTTGGTTAGTCTCTCTGGAATCCAAATCAGCTGCTGTTCTCCCTGTGGAAACACACAAACAGAACCCTGACTCCAGACAATCACTGGGTCAGGACCTTTCCATTGTCCTGTTAGAATATCTTTCCAAAGTACCTTAGGCTTATGTACATTTTTTGGACATATATGCCTTTCCGCAGCACTAAGCCCTGATGAATCCAAAATTTAAAAAGTTTAGAGTAAAAAGGGTTATTTTAAGTTTATCTTTGGGGGATATATACCCCTTTCCAATTCCCTCTTTTTGTTTTAATAAGTACATTTTAATAGTTTGATGAGCTCTTTTAACTATGCCTTATCCTTGCGGATTGTATGGGATTCCTGTTAAGTAAAACATTAACTGATTTTTCTTTAGGGATGATGTTCCAAAATATCCTATATGCATCCTTTGGAAATTTAAAGATCCTTTTAAATTCAAGTCTTCCAAAAGCATTTTGCCTTAGTTTTTAGAATTACTTTAGTCCTTTTAATTTTTTGATGTGGTTTTAAACCAATTTTCTTTTAGTTTAACGTTTTCTAAATTGGCTCTTGTCTATAAATTTTAACACCCTCATCTGAGACTTCTAATTTCTGCACCAACAGAAATTAAAGTTGATGGGCTTTTTGAAAAAATTACTAATAATCTCCTTGTTCTTCTATTTTATCCAATATTTGACTTTAAACTTCTCTCTTCTACCTTTTTCTATCTTGAATGTCTGTATCTAATAGTTGTCTTAGCTTTTTGCATTTCTTATCTGAAATACCTTTATTTGACATTTTTAACCATTTTTTATCTTGTTTCTATCTTTTAGTTTTCTTCTAAGGTTTGTACATTCACCCTTAGTTGCTTTTTTTCCTCCTAGTTTTCTTTTTTTTTTTTGCTTCCTATTTTGTGGGTTTAAAATTCTTGTCTTCCTACATCTTTTCTATCTTCCTACATCTTCTCTATCTTTTTTTTTAACCTTTCTGTACTTTTATCTTTAAAGTTTTCCACTTTAAATTTTTAATCTTTTTTATCCAAATTGCTTTTATCCTATTATCTTTCCATTTTCATGGGTTTTTTTAAGTAATGTTTTTAAGATTAACTAGGCTTCCAATGATGCAATCTTTCCTCCATCATGAAGGCATCTTAACCACCTTCAATTTAACCTTTTAAAGCCTTTTGCAACTTACTTAGACATTTTACAACTTTTTACTTTACCACACAAAGATTATCTCATCTAGAAACATTTCTTTTCTTCAACCTTCCATATTAAAATATATTTCCACATCTTGAATCTTTTATATCTCTTTTTTAGCCATTAACCCTTTTTATAAATTTATAATTTAACCTTTTAAAGCCTTTTGCAACTTACTTAGACATTTTACAACTTTTTACTTTATCACACAAAGATTATCTCATCTAAAAACATTTCATTTTTCTTCAGCATTCATATTAAAACATATTTCCACATCTTGAATCTTTTTATATCTCTTTTTTAGCTGTTAACCCTTTTTATAAATTCACATTATGAAACAACTCTTATAAAATTTCTGATTTAGACAAATTACTCCACTTTAATAAGATGAAATATTTTCATGTTTTTTTATGGTACTATAATACTGTAATTGAAACCCAACTGAAACTTCTTATACTCTTTGTATATAAATTACACCTGATAGAATCTTAACTCTTAGTAACCTTGTTTCAGCAAAGACACAGACACAAAGCAATATTAAACCTTTTTCCATTTACCAATTTATGAAAACACACATAATGTTTAAATATATTACCATATGTAACTTAATAAGTAAAGAGTACTTGATTTTATATTTAGTGGTTGATATTTTAACACTTTAGCTTTGTAAATTAATCAGATGTCTGTAAAAACCAAGATCTTAGACAAATGTAGTAAACAGAACTAATAATCTCTTTCTTGTTGAAGAAAAATCCTTCTACAGGATACCATGATGGTCCCATTGATATACTTAATAACTCGTCTTTAAAAAGCCATGGGCTACATTTTTGTATTGTATCAACATATGTCCTAACTGTTCTTGGTCTTACTGGGGTGCCTCCTTCCTCTAACAATTTCTCTTCCTCGGGGGCGAACAACTTCAAACCTTGAGCCAACCATTTTCCCCAGTTTGCCTGAGAAAGTTCTAGGGACAGGCAACTTGAAATAAAAACAAAAAGTTCCTGCAGGAGGAGCAGCCTCTGAGACCTCACCCACAAGCTCCACTAGGGGCAGCAGCTGAGCCCTATTTCCTGGGGGCTGAGAGCTTTGGAATTGATGGGAACTGACCTGAAGGTCATGTCCAAATTCCATCTCTTGGTGTGGCTTCTGTGAGTGAGTTGTTTAAATATTTACACCCTGTACTTTGTGACCTTGCCTTTCAGCCTATTTTAAGAACACTTAGGCAACTGGGTTCACTTGGCAGAAGTGTATCACCACTTGGCTTCTGGAGTTAGGAAGGCAACCTGCTTTTCCCAAAACAATCCACCTCCACTCTTCTCCCCCACAGACTCACTTCTTGCCTGTTCAAACAGGGACAAGGATTCTCAAGCATTTCCTGAGCAGCACTGTGATTGTGAACATGACCCAGTTTCTAGTTACTGTTGCAGAGAAAATCAACAACCTGTTCCCACCTGAGATTTCTGAGATTCTGTAGCCATCTCGGAAATCATTTGGCATCCATAATGCTTTTAAAACTTTTCATTGCACCTGAAAACATAATTCAAGAATCTGGAATATGTGCGATTATATTGTTTTCATTCATTAAAGGTACCAGGTGTGCCTGTGTATGTGTGTGTGTGTGTGTGTGTGTTTTACTATATGACAAGGGAGCTCTGAGGGGCTAAAGAAGGTCACTGTGCTCTATCTCCACCTGCCCTCAGCATGCCTTGTATTGGGGTTTGCAAATTCTTGCAGTTAGATGCTGGTCCTTCACCTCATTAAGTCACTATGGTAAACTTAAGTTAGATCTTGTCACTCTGAAAAAGACAGAGTAAAAAAGAAAATTCTTAGCAAATACACTAAAGCTTTTGAAGATCACCTTAGTAATTCCACATGATTCACTGGCATGACAGCCCCTTATGGAGACCAAAGGACTTTGGAGAAGGGAGTTCTAGATGAAACATTACTAAAAAGTTACTGCTTTAGAGAGAAACTGTCAACACAGTCAGAAAGCAGCCCAGCCACTTTGACTTGCCTGCATACTATGTTTCTGACAATCCCAATAACTGACAACATCCCTAAAGATAAAAAACCTATCAATTGCTTTTAAAAATCATATTTTGCTGTGATTCCTTGTGGGCTGCCCCTCCTACCCCAAGTTTCTTCACTTATATCAATTCTTTGCAACCAAGTTAGGTTTTTGTTTGTTTGTTTTTTGGTACTTGGGATTGAACTCAGGGATACCTAACCACTGACCACATCCCCAGCTCTTTATTTTAGAGACAGGGTCTCCTTAAGTTGCTTAGGGCCACCTTAAGTTGCTGAGGCTGGCTTTGAACTTGCAATCCTCCTGCCTCAGCTTCCTGAGTTTCTGGGATTACAGGCATGGGCCACCACACCGGGCACAAGATAAGTTTTATTGTTACTGTTCAAAACTCTCAGTTCTTCACCTGGAACATCAGCCCTTGCCATCTGGGCTGACCTGCTTCTCCAAACCTCCATTCCTGCCTGCCCAGACTGGGCTGGGTAGATCTCAAGAACCATGGGCCTCCAGCAGTCATCCCAAGTCCCAGCCTGATGCCAACATGTTATAACACTCCAAATTCTATCATTCACATCATACATTCATTCATTTAGCCATCCACTTATCCATCCATCTATCTGTTCATTTGTCTATTCATCTGTCTGCCCCCACCATCTATCCATCTGTCTGTACTTCTGTCTATCTCTCCCCCCTGTCAATAGCATCTACTATGTTTTTTCTTTGGGTCAGACACTATGCAGAGAGTAAAGCTGGTCTTGTCCCAACAGCATAGACCTCTAAGGTCTGGCGGAGAAGATGAGGCCCTAAGCAGGTGCTGCAATAGGGGGGATAAGTGCTCCCAGGGCAGAGAAGGCAGGAAATGGCTTCCTAGAAGTATCTTTAAGGTTCAACAGGAGTTTACAAGGAAAGAGTTGGAGTTGGTGGGGTTTAGTGTGGAGGGCATGAGCCAGGCAATGTTAAAATGGGTCTTTCTTCTTTGCTTCTAAGATACAAATTCAATGCAAAGCCCTCCCATTCATCAGTGCCCAGCCAAGAGTAAGTGCCTGGGAAGCAACTGCCAAATGAAAGAATTTATCCCAGGGGACCAGGAATGGAAAATTCATAGTATGTGCTTTATTGGGACAGGGCAATGATCTCTCAGGCTTTGGAGATAAATTCTGGGCCCTGGCCAGTCTGAAACTCTGCATTTATCCAACAGAACTAAAGATATGTTCACAAAATAACTCATCAAGAATTCTTATCTAAGCTTCATTGGTAATAGACCAAAACTTGAAATGACCCAGCTATCCTTCAACGAGTGAATGGTTAAATGAATGTGGTACATACACACCATGGAATCCTACTCATCAATAAAAACAATCAAGCTGCTGATACAAGAAACAACTTGGATTAATCTCCAGTGAGCTATACAGGGTCAAACTAAGCATTGTATGACAGTCTTGAAATGACAAGACTAGCAGTGAACAGCAGACTAGTGTTTGCCAGGGTTAGGTTATGGGCTGGATGTGACGAAAGGGAAATTCAACATGAAGGGTCCTGTGGGGGTGGAAATGTTCTGCATTTTAACTGTAGCACATCGATACCTGCTTGTGATATTGTATTCCATTTCTGCAAGTCGTTGCCATCACGGGGGGCGGGGCGGGGGGCTGGGCATAGAGAACATGGGATTCTCCTGTATCATTTCTTACCACACCTGATACTACTCTGACCTCAGCCGAAAGGCCACGGAGTGCTTATTTCTTATAACTGCATGTGATTCCACAATTATCTCAAAAAGTTTAAGAAAAAAATCAAGTGACAAGGAAAGAAAATAATACATGTAAGATCCTCAGCACGATGCCTAGCACATGGTTGAGACGTGAATGTTACAACTAGAGAATCTGGCAAACCAGGACAGGGGAGCATCCGCAGGCGGGGCGCACCCACCTGCCAGGGACACAGGTTCTTTTTTTGTTGTTGTTGTTGTTTATGTGGTGCTGAGAATCAAACCCAGTAGGCAAGCGCTCTACCACTGAGCCACAGCCACAGCCCCAGGGACACAGGTTCTGCTTCTTCCTCTCCTGCCTTGTGAGGTTGTTGGCTCATGTTCAGGTTGATGTGGACCATGGTCACAAGACCTCTCTCCTGCACCATGTGCATACTGCCCTGTGTCTCAGGTCTCTGCGAGAACCAAGAGACCCTGTGTGGGAGCCTCCTCCCCAGGGCTCAGTGGCCAGTCGGCCTCACTTATCCATAAAAATTAGCTCATTTCTAAAAGTCAGCAAGGGACATGGGAGCACTCAGCTTAGATCAGTCTGGATCACCCCAACCTGGGGCCAGAGCCTACTTTGCTGAGTTTAGTGACAGAATCCTACCTCTGATGGCCAGAACAAGGAGGAGGTGTCTCCAGGGTCACCCACCCACACTGTCTCCCTTGCCCCAGGGCTCCAGTAGCCACACGTCCATGGCTCTGGGCTACTGGTATGTGTCTCACAGGCCACCAGATATAAAGCTGCTGTTGCGACTTATGCAGTCCAGGGGAAGAAATAAAGAATGTCCACGCGCTTCTGCCCTTTCCAATGCTTTATTCACTCAAATCACTCAATACAATTTCACTCTATCAGTTCTTAATCAGAAAAAAAAATGTCAATCCTTAATGCTAGGCACTGCAATTGACATAATCTGCTGGGAGCCATTAGCCAAGTAGGTATGACAATTTCCTTGCCAGCGTACCCCATGTTGCAGTGACATTGAATGTACGTGACCTTGCTCAAGGACCAAGGCAGATTAGGGTGTTCCCGGTTTTAAGATAATCGTGTTTAGGGCGTTCCCAGTTTAGGTTCCAGGTTTAAGGTTTAAGATTATTCCTGCTGGGAATAGGGCGTATCCTGCTGCCTGAGTTCCCCTTGAGTTCTCACGGGATTCAGACAATATATTTTGGAGATAGAAGCCCAGTGGACGGGGATTTGGGCAGAGAACGTGAATTTGGGCAGAGAACGTGGATTTGGGCAGAGAACGTGGATTTGGGAAGAGAACGTGGATTTCCCCAGAACGTGATTGTAGACGGCTGGTGTGAGTTCGGGAATAAAGAGTTGCTGTTTGAATCTACAAGTTGTGTGGTGGCTCGTGATTGTGTGCCCAGCCAGACTGCGGCATTTGTGCCCAGCCAGACTGCGGCAATAATCAATTCACAGCAAACAATTCTAGATTAATTCACAGCAAACAATTCTAGATTGATTAATTCTGAGCACTGCAAACACACTTAATCATGACAGGCTAATGACAGACATTCCCTCTGTGTGCTAAGTTCAGTGTTAGATCAAAAGTCTTAAGCCTATAAATGGGCCAAGGACCTGAAGGGACACTTCTCAGAAGAGGATATACAATCAATCAACAAATACATAAAAAAATGTTCATTATCACTAGCAATTAGAGAAATGCAAATCAAAACCACTCTAAGATTTCATCTCACTCCAGTCAAAATGGAAGCTATTATGAAGACAACAATAAGTGTTGGTGAGGATGTGGGGGGAAAAGGCACACTCATACACTGTGGTGGTACTGCAAATTGGTGCAGCCAATATGGAAAGTAGTATGGAGATTTCTTGGAAAATTGGGAATGGAACCACCATTTGACCCAGCTGTCCCTCTCCTTGGTCTATACCCAAAGGACTTAGAAGCAGCATCCTACAAGGACACAGCCACATCAATGTTTACAGCAGCACAATTCACAATAGCTAAATTGTGGAACCAACCTAGATGCCCTTCAGTGGATGAATGCATAAAAAAAATGTGGCATATATACACAATGGAATATTACTCAGCAATAAAAGAGAATAAAATCATGGCATTTGGAGGTAAATGGATGGAGTTATAGAAGATAATGCTAAGTGAAGTTAGCCAATTCCAAAAAGCAAATGCCAAGTGTTTTCTTTGATATATGGAGGCTGATTCATAGTGGGATAGTGAGAGGGAACATGGGAGGAATAGACGAACTCTAGATAGGGCAGAGGGGTTGGAGCGGAAGGGAGGGAGCATGGGGTAATTAATGATGGTGGAATGTAATGATCATCATTATCCAAAGTACAGGTATGAAGACACGAATTGGTGTGAGTATACTATGTTTACAACCAGAGATATGAAAAACTGTGCTCTATATGTGTAGTAAGAATTGTAATGCATTCTGCTGTCATATATAATTTTTTTTTTAAAAGGGAAAAAAAGTCTTAAGCTTTAAATCCAGCAGATGCACACTCACTCAGACCTTGGTGATCTGATGGCTGGCTGAAGAGAATGTCAGCGGAGAAGTCCTTGCTCTCTCCAGGGTCAAGATGTGGCTGTGAGCGGTGAGGAAGATGCAGAGGATCAGCAAAGGATGAAAAGTGTTGGGGTGTCGGTCCAGGTCCTCATCAGGTTCTCAGCTGAGGGCATCAGTGTCAGCTGGCTGAAAGTCTGTTCATTTGCTCTAGTATTTATACTAAATTTTGGGACTTTTGACCCCCCCTTTCAATCCCTATCAGCTGCCACCAGATTTCTCAGTGACATCATTTACCCTGGGGTTAAAACATTTTGTCTGTTGGTCTCCACCCTGATCCTTCACCTTTTCCTCTTATTGGGTGAGAACAGCCTGCCTGAGACTTCACTCTGAGTTTACCAGGGTGGGGAAGTGACTTGCTGGTGCCTGAGGGCCATATGGAGGGCTCCTAGGTGTGCCTGGTGAGACTGCAGGTTTCAAACTGGAGTTTTAAATGGGGTTGCTTAGGCTCAGGCCCCAGCCATCCTCACAGCTGCCAAGGCGAAGAGCTGAGCTTGCCCCTGCTTTTGTCCTCAGGTCTTGCAGGTGCCCTGCAAAAAAAGCGTTAATCTGCATTTGCTGAAATGAATACATATTTGTTGGAATAGAGTGAATTTAAATATGTAGGCTTCAACACATCAATTATGCCTTTCAAATGTGTGCTTAAGTTTATACTCCTAAGCTTATTGTGATGTCCATATTAGAAACTGAATCTGGAGGCCCCAAGCCAGCCACCTACACTGTGGCTTGGTGTCCACAGAACCAAAGCTGCAGATTCCTCTTGCTCTAGGGGCCCTCCCACATCTGATTCATTTGCTTGGTATTTTGAGGGGAACACAAGACATTGTTGTTCCACTCTATGCTTTTCTTTAAAATATTCTCTAGTGACCTAAACCCACATTAATTACTGCATGTATTATTCTTTTCTTCTGTTTTCCAAGTCTCCTAGAGGTAGGGTAATCAAACTTTGGTACTCAGATTTTCACTTAGTGGTTCATGTGACATACCAAGTAGAAAAGGGTTGTCCTCCACAAAACCTATCATCTTTTTCTCTTTAAGTAAGTCTGTTAACTGTGCCAACTCTAGCTTTGAGTGGAATGCCACTCTGTCCTGTGTCAAGTCTAGTATGAGAAATGATTCTGACCCATAAAACTGATAGTCACAAGCCAAATGGAGGTTCTTCCCCACCTCCCAAGATGCTCCCTGTTGAGAGCCACAGCCGAAAGGGGCCCCAGGAAACTTTCAGACTGCCGGCTGATGATTGGCTCACAGCAGCCCCAGCAACTTCTAGCTGATTGGCTCCTCTGCGGTGATGCTCATTGGAGATGCTCATTGAGCTGTTTCCCCCGCCCTTTCAGACTGCCAGCTGATGGCTCCCTGAGGCTTCTGTACTTCTAGGTTTGGATTTAAATCCCTGGACTTCACCTTCAAAGCCCACACATACCTCAGCTCTCCTGCAAATCAACTTCCGGGTGTCCTTTTTTTACTCTAACATTACAGAATGTAGCTGTGAATGCTGGATGTAAGTGCTTAGCAAAGCCTAGGGATGTCTGTCAAGATGGAAAGATTCAGAGGAAACAATAGCAAATCAACAACTCAGAAAGATCTATGTTCCACTCATGACCAGGGAAAAATCTGCATTTCTTTCCTGGGTTGAATTTTAACTTATCCCCATCGATTATACAAAAGGTTTTTATTCAAAAGACGGCCTTCTAAAGTCTTTCAGTGAGACTGCACTGTCACTGCACTGGTGACACTGAGCAGGAAGAAAGGCACCAGAACTAGCCTAGAACCCACAGGGAATTGGCATCTAATACTTTAGCATATAGCACGTTTGCAATTCCAATGACTTGGGAGGCTGAGGCAGGAGGATGGAAAATTTGAGGCCAGCTTCAGCAATTTAGTGAGACCATGGCTGAAAATCAAAAACAAAAAAAGAGCTGGGGATGTAGCTCAGTGGTAAAGCACCCCTGGGTTCAATCCCCAGTGTCCCCTCCAACACAAAAGAGCCTATCACTTCCTTTATTGGTGATTGTTATGTGAAGAGGAACTTCCAATGCATACACAACCCCTGGAGGCTTCACTTCTAACTTGCTGTACAGGGATCAGAAAGATGAATTCCATGATCTCAGATCCAGTTCAGCGTGCCTTGTTTTGGCAAATGCGGGGAGGACTGGTGAAGCTTTACGTAGGGGAGGATGAATGAGAACCCCCAGACACAGCACTAGTCAGTGACAGACCCAAGAAGGGCCCTGATCATTTCAGATTTTGGCCAACCTTTTGTTCCCCAGTCCGCCACACTGACGCCTGGAGCAGAGGTTGTGGTAAAGTTCCAGGGTGCAGATCTGCATTCCTGGATGGCTTGGCCCGGTAACCTAGAAGAGGGGGGCTCTGGCCGTGGCTACGCAGGCATTGCCAGCATCCACAATTAAAATGCTTGTGCTTTTAAGCCCTCAGGGTCTTCCTGCAGTTCTGAGGCTGTGTGCTGATCCTGGCAATCACTTATGAAGATGACGACTTGATTTTTGTGGTAATGACAGGTGTCTTTGTGCATCACATTTCAGATAGGCCTCCAGAGGAACCAATCTCCTCAAGCCTGAGATTTTCCCCTAAGTCCAAAACAGTAAAGGATTTGCTGATCCTGGAAATAAGCCTCACTTTTTCTATTGGCCATAGCCCTTAATCACAGTTCTCTTCACTGCAGAACTAAAAATAATGGATAAGGTGTCACAAGGGACAATTCCAATCAAAGCCCTGTCTCCCAGGCACCCAGGGACAATAGCAGCTACTCCCACGAGGCAACTCAAGTATTAGATACGGATTCCCTGTGGGTGCTAGGCTACTTCTGGTGCCTTTCTTCCTGCTCAGTGTTCAATTTCTTTTCTTCAGTCATTTCTAATAATTCTACAAAATTACAGATCATTCCAACTTGAAATATTTTTCAGATTTTGTGGATAGATATTAAAAAGCAATAGTATCCAGGCAATATTATCCAGTAGTTTGTCTCATCTCTGGAAAAGTAAAAGTTCTTTGACCCACTGTTCTTTCTTGTACCTATTTCTTGGTGGCCTGGCTTGATACATGGGGATGGTGAAAGCTACCCTAAGATAAACACGGTGTGGTGGGGTCTCCCTCCATACACTGGGTGAGAATCTGAACATGACCTGCAACGCCTAAATCATTTCCATCTAGCTGGGGCCCTGGGGCCTGGGCTGCCTTGGACTAGAGAGGGAGGGCTTGAGCTGACCTGGGGGGGAGCAGATTGAGATGGAGTTACCCAGACCAAGAAGAGGCTCCCCAGGCTCGGTGTGCACAGGCCCCTGAAGACCTTGGGCACTTTCCAGTGGCAACCAGCAGGTCCCCAGAACTGGAACTCTGAGGGGGCTAGCCGAGAGAGGCAGGTTCAGAGCCCTCAGGGTCTTCCTGCAGTTCTGAGGCTCCGCCTCTTGCCCTGAGGCGATAAACATCCTGGTGGGTGCCTCTGCTTTTCCCCTGTCCATTCCCCCTTTCTCCCTCATCACAGCCCCTGATTCATCGTGGAGTAGCAATGTGCCTGGCAAGAGGACTACAGTGCCCAGCCTCCTGGCCACCAGGAGAGCACCACCTCAAGATTTCTGCATAAGCAGAGGGCTTTGGGGAGGAGCCTGAGGACACTCCCACCCCCCACCCTCCTCTCCCTTCAACCTGAGATGCTGACGTGGCACAGCCATCCCAAACAGGGTGCAGGACTGTGGAGCAAGGGAGCTGCTCAGGGTGTTGGGGGTGGCCATCCCAGCCCAGGAGGCCCTGATGGCACTGTGGGTGGCTGTCCCACACCTCAAGCTCTGCACAATAAAGAATCCCCTACTGGTTTACGTCCCTGTGTTAGTTTTCTCTGGCTGCAACAGGAGCTGTTCTCTCACAGTGGGGAGAAGTGTGGAATCCAGGTGCCCTGCGCCCACACTCCCCCTGAAGGCTCCCGGGCAGATGGCTCCTCCCAGCACTGGGGCTTCAGTCACCAACCTCTGCCTCCTCACCGACCATCCCCTCATGTGGAAGACCACCTCTGTGTCCACGACTCACCCTTGTACCAGAACACCAGTCGTACTGGATTAGGTCCCATCTTAATGACCTTAACTTCGTTAAATCTAAAACTCCCAACTGTAAGTAAGTTGTGTTCTGAGAATTAACCATTAGAACTTCACATATCTTTTTTTTTATCACTTAATTAATTCTGATTAGGTACACATGACAGCAGAATGCATCGTGATCCACTGTACACAACTGCAGCACAACTGTTCATTTCTCTGGCTGTACATAGTGTAGCATCGCACCTTATGTGCAGTCACACGTGTACCTAGGGTAATGATGTCCATCTCATTCCACCAGTTTTCCTGCCCCCATGTCCTCTCCCTTCCCTGCCCCCTTTGTCTAGTCACAATTCCTCCCTCCCCACCCCACCCCCACTATGGATCAGCATCCACTTATCAGAGAGAACATTTGGCCTTTGGTTTTTGGAGATTGACTTACTTCACTTTGCATGATCTTCTCTAACTCCATCCATTTACTTGCAAATGCCATAATTTTATTCTCTTTTAATGCTGAGTAATATTCCATTGTGTATATATACCATATTTTCTTTATCCATTCATCTATTGAAGGGTATCTAGGTTGGTTCCAATTTAGCTATTGTGAATTAAGCCACTAAACATTGATGTGGCTGTGTCCCTGTACTATGCTGATCTTAAATCCTTTGGGTATAACTGAGGAGTGGAATAGCTGGGTCAAATGGTGGTTCCATTCCAAGTTTTTTAAGGAATCTCCATACTGCTATCCAGATTTGTTGCACCAATTTGCAGTCCCATCAGCAGTGTATGAGTGTGCCTTTCCCCCCCACATCCTTGCCAATACTTACTGTTGTTTGTATTCTTGTTAACTGCCATTCTGTCTGGAGAGAGATGAAATCTTAAGAGTGATTTTGATTTGCATTTCTCTAATTACTAGAGACTTTGAACATTTTTTTCATATATTTGTTGATTGATTGTATATCTTCTTCTGAGGAGTGTCTGTTCAGCTCCATAGCTCATTTATTGATTGGATTGTTTGAGGGGTTTTTTTGGTGTTAATGTTTCTGAGTTCTTTATATATCCTGAAGATTAGTGCTCTATCTGACGTGTGTGTGGCAAGACCTCTACGATGAAAACTACAGAACACTGAAGAAAAAAATAGAAGAAGATCTTAGAAGATGCAAAGATCTCCCATGCTCTTGGATAGTCAGAATTAATATTGTCAAAATGGCCACACTACCCAAAGCTCTATACACATTCAATGTGATGCCAATTAAAATCCCAACATCATTCCTTATATTTTTTTTTATTTTTATGTGGTGCTGAGGATTGAACCCAGGGCCTCCTCGCACATGCTAGGCAAGCGCTCTACTGCAGAGGCACAACCTCAACCCCCATCGTTCCTTATAGAAATAGAAAAAGCAATCATGAAACTCATTTGGAAAAATAAGAGACCCAGAATAGCCAAAGCAATCCTTAGCAAGAAGAGCAGGAGGCATCACAAT